ACTGAATGAGGAACGTAGCTCAAAGATTCGCTCTTTACTTACTGTGGTTCGCAGGGATCTTGATGGAATTAAGCAAAAGGTTATAGAAGGGCGTGGAACAAAGAAAAATGAAGGTGGCGAAGGTTCCTCCCCTTCTGAAAGCAAACCCAGTGAATTAGAGTTAGGAGAGAGCGCACTATGCCGTCTGGGTTTTGCATGTCGCTTGTCGCTGTTGGGAAATTGTGGAACCCGGGCCTCCAGTAAGAGTTTGATGGCCTCACTGGAGTTTGCCACAGTTCTGCTTAACTCTGGATTGATCCCAACAGGTTTTGAAGCAGTTCCCCTGGAGATAAATACACCCGAAGGGACGCCAGGTGGGGCAAGCGAATTTTTTTCAAAACTTCTAGGTGGTGGGCCAAGTGGTGGTTCAGGTTCTACATTTCCTGTAAAGGAGGGAGTTACCAGTGCCCAGGATACTTCGAAGGATGGCTCGGTAAATTTGTATTATGCGGTGGTTGAAGGTGTCCTTTCTCTTGCCCAGCATATTCAAGGTAAGGAGGTTAATGAAAAAGTCCTCTTTACCCTGGTCACTGCTCTTCAGGCATCTGCTGTACCGAGTTGTAGTCGTCAGCTTGTATGCGAGAGAGTTCACTATGACCGCAACGATCATTTCCTCGCCATTCGAGGTGAGGTTTTATTGCTAGTTGTGGAAAGGCTGTTTGGGGTACTTACTCGAAACAACGCAATTCCTCCACTGTATGAAGAAGCTAAATCTGCATTGAATCATATTGCTAAGGCATTATCAAAAGCTGTGGAACATGAAATGACTGAGGTGAGTGGAGTTGAGTTAGCCGGATCTGGTGCAATAGAGGAAGGGTTTCAGTCAGATGCAGCAAAACTGTTGGAGTATTGCTGTAGTTTAATTAAGATGCCTGTGGTGTCTTCTATATCTACTCAACAAACGGGAAACGCAGTTGGGGCTATAGGCTTACCCAGTGAATCTTCTATGGTAATGCTTACAGCACTTGGTCTTATTCTTCATTTAACTGTCAATGGGGGACCAGTGTTCCGCAACTCCTCACTCATTCTTTCGGTTTTGAAGTCTGCGGTGATTCCTTCGACTTTGGGTACTGCATTGCTAAAGGACCTGGATGCATTCCGTCTCTCGGTGAATGTGCTACTGACGTGTTCAATTAGCTTTGGTCCTCTCATGGTAAATGAGACTGAGACAATATTTCGTCATTTATTCTTCCGAGTGTTGGAATCGAAAACATGTTCCCTTGTTCAGAAGTCGCTGGTAGTTGAGGTTTTCCGACGCTATATTGAAGAACCACAAAACTTACTTGCTTTGTTCTTGAACTATGATTGTAATGCACGTTCTCAGAGTGTATATGAGCAGATGATTGGATATTTGGTTGCTCTTTCTGAACCCCCTGGGGTAAAAGGCTCTGATGCTTCGGGTCCTAAGGATTCACTCTTTGAGAAGGTCGTATTAGATTTTTCGGTTCCCGATTCATTGCGAAGAAGTGCATTAGCAACACTCTTATTGGTTGCCTGTTCAAATCGCCAGTGGATTGAGCGGTTCGAATGTGATCAAAACAGGTCTTTCACCAGAGAAAATTCTTCTACTATACTACTGTCTCACCCAGAGCCAGCGAAAGACTACTTAGGAAAACAATTGGAGACCCAAGGCAATCTTTCAGTATCTGATACACTACCGAATGAAAACGATCAGTTTATGGAGACGTTGCGTATAAAAGAGGCATTTCGTAAGTTTTTGTATCATATGAATGAGGCAAAAGACTCAGCAGCTGCAATTGAATTCCTTGCAAAAGAACCTCTTCTTGTAGCAGGTATTGTCCAGGAAAAATGCCAAACTAAAGGAAATGGGGAGAAAACTGGGTTTGCAGCCAACAATGAATCAACGATAGATGCGGACACAACTACGGCAGATCGTGCCGAGACTGTTGAAGCAGCAGAAGAGGAGATGGAATCCAGGGCAGAGAAAATTGCTATGTTTTTGAAGGAAAAAGAAGACTATATTGATAAATTAGTCATTGGTGAGTTCTTTGCGAAGAGCTTTCGAAAACCGTATTCGCGGCTTATTTTTGTAAAGTGGATTGAGCAACATTCATTTACTGGAATGGCTCTTGATGCGGCGGTTAGACTGTTTTTAGGTGGATTCAAACTTCTTGGTGAAGCTGAAGTTGTCGATAAAACAATGGAGCTTTTTGCCGCGCAATACTGCAAGGAAAATCCAACGGCTTTTCGATCCGCTAATACGGCGTTGATCCTATCTTTTTCGATATGCATGCTGAACACCGATGCTCACAGTCCTCATGTTAAGGACAAGATGACACTTGAGGGCTTTATTCGAAACAATAGAGGCATTGATGAAGGCGAGGATGTTGATCCAACCTTATTGAAAGCGATTTACGAACGTATTGTCTCAAATGAAATTAAGCTTCGTCCCACTAAGTTTGATACTACTGCTCCGAGCTCCAATTGTAGCAATCGAGGCCGAAATTCGTCAAATCATAGGATTTCATCTGGGGTCCTGGAGTCTATTCCCATACTCAGGCATTTAGCTCCTGTGGCCAGAGCGATAACGGATACTGTAATGATACCGTTAGACGCTGCAGGCAATGCCCTTTTTAATACTGCTCAACGGAAACAACAGGAAGTTTACCAAACTGAGGTTCTCTCCGCCTTAAAGGATGTGATTGAGGCCCTTGACACAGCCAATGCGCTAAAATATAACTTCGTGGAAGCCACAAGAATTGAAAATGCAATTCCAATGTGGGCAATAACTGTTGACCCTTTGGTGAAATGCCTTTTATGCGCCTTTGAGAGGTTTTTTACCATGGCTGAGGCTACTGTGTTGCCCCCGAATGCACAGGCTGGCCTGGACGTAACTGTTCTTTTTCTTGATGTGCCCCAAAATCGAGAGTACTTTGATATTCTTCTTCGAGGTGTGGTCAACACTGTTCATGTATGCTGTGATTTTGGCAATGTGTCACAGGCTGAGGATCTTATTGAGAGACTTTTTTCGTTGACTCAACTTGAAAAAGTTGTAAGTATTTCTCAAACAGCGAACTCTTGTGTTACCGTCTCAAATGTAATATCAAAGCCGAGGATCCAGTTGCTGGCAATGCTCTTGAATTTGTTTCCAATTAATGGAGCTTCACTAACAACGAGGGGATGGCGTGTGGCGTACAATGGAGTCTCGCTACTGGATTTAATTTCAAATGGTGTCGAGGGCATTTGGAAGAGACAACGCAGGAGGTTTACATCGGGTGAAGGAATGCAACCTCCTCCAGATACATGGTTTGGTTGTTTGGAGAACGTGCCTCCTTCCCTTGATAAGAATTCCATCACGAAACGGTTTGCAATTCTATCTGGTTTGAGGTGTTTTGCTTCTGTGGATATATGGCTTGAACGCTTGTTTGATGCTACAGAGTATCCATCACAGACACGAGTTTTTATGGCTAATGCTTTAGTTTCTGTCTGCGAGAAGGAGTTGAATTGCTCGCGTACATTTTCTCTCACAAAACTATTCGATTTTGTCACAGTTTGTGCCTCATTCAGTTCGCGAATGCAGTGGAGAGACCTGTGGGCCCATGCCAGCAAGGTTTTTACTTTGGCTGGAAAAATGTCATTTGATATTGCAACTTCTGCCTTGGGAGGCCTAAGGATCATAGCACTTACATACCTCATGCGTGAGGAACTCCTGAATTACTCATTTCAGAAGGAGGTCCTCATACCCTTTGAGGCCATTCTAATGGGTAATCAGAACGTCATTATTCGTCAAAAAGTAATTGAAACTATAGCGGAACTTATTGATTTTCGAGCTAGTCATTTGGCGAGTGGATGGAACGTCGTGTTCTCTATCCTGAGCCATAGTGCCGTGATTCCAGAAGTCGTAAAATCTGCATGGGATGTTTGTGAACGCATTATCACTTTGCATATAGGTCTTATGAAGGACTGTTTCAGGGATCTGGTCTTTTGCTTGACGTCTTTCGCCTGCAACAATGTTGATGAGGCTGTTGCCTTACTGAGTACTTCCTACCTAAAGGCATGTGGGCATTGGCTTCAGTTTGGCTTGGAACCACCGCCAGCGGATGTATGTGATGCCAGTGGCGTATCTGAATGGGCAGGTCGATACAAGGATGCTGATAGTGAAGCACGCGCAGCAAAGCTTACTGTTGGCTTACCGCGGGTTACTCTGTTGATGAATCCTATCACTTCACTTCGAACTTTGGAGAAGCCGACGGGTCCAGCGGTAAAAACAGGTTATCATTTGTGGATGTCACTTCTTGAAGGAATGATTCCTATTATTTTGGTTCATCCTTCTGTTAGAGTAAGGTCACATGTGATCTGCTCGTTGTGGGCTCTCATTGGACAGTACGCCATCGCATTTGCCGCTGAAATTCAAGATTCTCTTTTTAAGGGAATCTTGAGGCCTGTTATATTAAGTCTTCTTATGCATACACCAGTCGAAAAGGAAACACCACTCGGCTCTGTGGATTATAAACTTTTGGCGTTTCTGAGTCTCAAAAGCATGTTTCTTGCGTGTCGAAAGCACCCACGTCTCTTATCTCTAGCATGTGAGATTTTTTCTTCAATTTGCATGACACCTTTGTCATTGAAACATATTCAATCGGGCCTCGTAGATGTCGTTCTAAGAATATGCGTTGACTTGGAACTACGCAGGAATGCTTATTCTTTCGGCGTTTCAGTGGCAACACCTGAACTGTGGGTGAGTAGGCTGGTGCATGAGTTGATACATGTAGGGCATGTCGATGTTATCCACTTCAGGAGGACAACAGGGTGGACAGAACTACACCATGCAGAGACTGTTACAGCATCTGGTGTGAACCTGGATGCCGGCTTGGGGGACGAAGCACGCACTGCCGTCATTAATACGGTTCTCACATGTATTACTGATGGTGTTATAACCCAGCTTTTGGCAACAACAAAGAGTTGTAGCGTACAGGAGGATTATCTCCTCTGTTGCAGGGCGACTCGTCGAGCATACTTGATTCTCGCCTTGTTCTCTTCGGCAGATGCAACCGAAAAAGTGTTCCCCCTGCTTCTCTCTGGATTTTGTGCCGATACAGCAGAGGTGCCTGAGCAACAGCTCCTTATTCCCTATTTGTGTGTGCTTGTCGAATTTGTGTTTGTTCTGCGTTCAAGTCCACCCACACCGAATGAAACTCGGGCGCTACGTTCAGCAGTTGGCATGATGTGCCAGACAATTCGACATTCACGGGAATTTTGTGTGCGTCATCAAAATGAACTTATGGATGTGTATGAGAATGAGAAGACTCAAGGAGAGCAGCCATCAGCTACCAAAAAATACAAGGGACGCGCGTTTATCGATGTTTTTCGCTCTGGGAGGGCACCATTAACGGCTCGAGCAAAGCACATTTCCCGTACCCCTCCAGAACGATACCTTAACGAGTGGAAATATCTTACACACATTCTTGGGTTGAAGTACGCTTTTGCGTTTGACGGTGTCATAACTCGGAGTGCTGCTGCGGAGAATGTGCGTGACCTCATTTTGTTGCTCCCAAGTGAACTAGAAGAGGAGTTGACCGAAGCGTTCTTAAATAGTTGTTGGGATGAGATTGACGTGGGGATAAACCTTTTGAAAGGTTCGTCCCTGTCGCATGCTCTCGTTGTGCTAGAACAAAAGAGAAATGCGTCGGCAACATAAAGGGGGGTCCAGAAGCCGTTTTTTAGATACGTATTGATCGATCGGTGTATAAATGCTGCGCTAAACACAATTGTAAACTTTTGTTTGCTGAAGGGTGCATTTCAGTTTTTCTGCGCATGAGCGTTGTCGATGTTGTGTGGTGTGAACCAAGCCTGGGTGAGAGAGCTTTTTTACTTCTCTGAGCTGTCAACAGTCATCATCGAAGCTTCGGCCGTTTTTTTTTTTGTTTTTTGTTCACTTGAGTATCACTACAGAGCAAATCAAACCACCGTGCGGAAAACGTTGTCGAAAGAGGGGACATTTCTTACCTACGTTTCTTTTTTCTCGCTCTACCGGTTTAGCTTGTTTATCAAGAAGGAAAAAGATATGCAAATTCGTGTCTCTTCACAAAGTGAGTCTGGAGTTCCCGCGACCTCTTCCATCGGCGGCGGCAGCACTACTTCATTCGCATCACTCCAAGGTGACCGTTCTGCCGCATGCCGCGTTTTTGAGTACGGAGTGACGTCAGAGCAGGGCTCCCGCAAGACGATGGAGGACCAGCATGCCATGGTGGCAGAGGCAATCCCTTTATTCGGCGTGTATGATGGTCATGGTGGCACACAGTGCGCTGAGTTCCTTCGCGACAACTTGCACACATTGATTCTTAGTCATCCAGATATCAAGACAAACCCCGAGGAGGCAATACGTGCTGGAATAGCTAAAGCAGAAGGAATTTTTCTAGGAAGGTGCGCAAGTGAGAAGATTGAATCTGGCAGCACGTGTGCCGTGGCCATGATAGTGGATGACACACTAGTTACTGGCAATGTTGGGGACTCTGAGATAGTGCTCTGTCGTGCGGGGTCTCCATTGGTGTTGTCAACAAAGCACAGCCTGCACTGCAACGAAGCGGAAGGTGAGCGTGTCAAGGCGTGTGGTGGCCGAATTATCAGCAATCGTGTGGGCCATCCAAAGTACAATCCACAGGTGCTGAGCCTTGGCATTACTCGTGCCATAGGTGATGCTGGCTTCAAGCTGGAAGAGTACACAGATGGAAAGCCATCCGGTGTCATTGCTGAAGCAGAGACTCGGTCGACAAAGCTGACGGACGAGGACGAGTTTCTCATTATTGGGTGCGACGGTCTCTGGGATGTTATGTCATACGACAGGGTTGTGCAGTTTTGCTCACAGCTCGCGGCGGAGGGAGTGCCGCCGCAGGAGATCACCGATAGGTTGTGCCAAGAGGCCCTGCGACAAGGGAGCACGGATAATGTCACTACGTTATTGGTTCAGCTGAAATGTGTTGTTCATAGTAGCAAAAGTATTTTTCTTCATGAGAGGGCTTTGTCTGCTTCTTTGGGATATTCTGTGTAAGTGTCGACAGCTTTTTTAACTCCCCCTTCGCGTATTTTCGGTTATGACGTTCTTGTGATCGTTTTGGGCGCACTTTCTATTGCCTTAATACGTGCCCTTTAATGCGTCTTGAGCTGCATTGTTAGTGTCATGTGCCCTGTGAATTTGACACTCTTCCAATTGCTTTACAGTTAACTGTATTGCTTCCCTGTGATGATTGTTGTTGTTGCTGTATACTTTATGTGACCTGCTTCTTCTTTCAGCGCATTTTTTTGGTGTTCAACGTGTAATGCGACAGGGATATTGCAGGTGAGATTATTTTGTAGAAAGACTGTCTGGCAAGAGGTTTTGTGAGAACCGGAGAAAAACCTGAGTACCTTTTTTTTTTTCCTTTGTGTTTTTATTGGGGTCTTCTTCTTCTTGGAAACGGCTTTGATATTGTGGCCATCTAAATACGCACATTCGTGGTGATGTTTTTCTTTGTTCTTGCCCTTCTATTTCTCCTCTGCGCATTCATAAGGGGTGTGGGTCTTCGTGAAGCCCAGAGGACGTTGTTCACGGCGCGTTTCGCATTACCAACAGCGGTTGCAGCTGTCACAGTGAGTGCGGACGGAAGCCATATAGACGCCGTTGTGGGTCAGCAAGGGAAAACGGTGCACCTTTTCAAGGTGCGGCGATCCAGAGCAAGTGCGGCTGTAAAAGTTCTTCGTGGTGTGTCTACGGTGATACTGGCAGTGGTGGTGGTGCCGTTGGCATAAAAAAACACACCACAGACGTAGCGTGGGTTGCACTGAAGCAAAGGGGAGGGGGGAATGAACAGGAACGACAACGGGCAAGCGGACGGCGTAGCGTCGACTGTGGTGTCCCAACCGTCTTCAGCCTGCACACAGTCACTGTGGCGTATTTTCGAGTACGGAGTGACGTCAGAGCAGGGCTCCCGCAAGACGATGGAGGACCAGCATGCCATGGTGGCAGAGGCAATCCCTTTATTCGGCG